GGGTTGAGTTGGGTTTGGTTGGGTTGAGTTGGGTTTGGTTGGGTTGAGTTTGGTTTGGTTGGGTTGAGTTGGGTTTGGTTGGGTTTGGCTTGGGTTGGTTTGGTTTGGGTGGGTGGGGCTGGGTTGGGCTGGGGTAGGCTCAACAATCTTCAAGGACAAGACATAAAGAAATGTGGACCAAGACACACATCACTGTCACAGACAATGCCATGAGACTGGGTGGAAATTGACAAGTTAGCATGCATAACACCATGCAGATCGAAATCAGATCAAATCAGTGTTTCCACGTGGTGGATGTGGCTAGACAACTTGACAGAGAGTGTTGGATATATATAAGAGGTAAAATTTGGCTTATAATTTCTCACGTTATATATACAAGCAGTTGTGCCAATATCTTAAAAGAGTTTATCACAACTAACATGTAGAGACTGAACAGAAATTAAAAGCAACCGAAAATGAGTCTTTGTTCCCTGTGAACTTTGTCGAGCAGGGCTCATTAAACAGTGGGGGCCGAACATTTAAGGATTCAAAAACATCATGCTAGGTTGATGTCTATGCCTTGAAACTTGGAGTTGGCTGTACTGCTACTTCCTCGGGGGTCTGATTGTCCATGTAAAACTGTTCCAGAACCTTTCCAGCAAAAATGTCAAAGAGGACAGTCTTTCTTCTCGTCTGTCGGAAGCTTTTTCAGATGAATTCTTGGCTATCTGGGCCAGACGTGGCCCCTTCGAGCAGCAGAGTCTGTTTAACTTCTGTCATTTCATCAGAAAGTTCCTCCTGCCACAAGTTAGGCAGGTATACAACCCACTCTGAGGAGACCTCTCTTGAATTGCGTCTCGTGAGTTGGAATTATGAAATTCTGTTATTAGAAGCTGAGGTATTTTACACAACGCATAGCAAAGTCAACGAGGTGCTTGTGACCTCGACATGGTTGGAATCCTACGCTGGACAGGTTCTCCAGGGAAAGAATGGCTCATTTGGGGCTGCTTTTCCAATACCACCGCCTCCTGGGTTTAGACTCACCTGCAAAGAACTCATCGAACAGCCCCTCCTCGGGGGAAGGGGTCGGGGTGGGGGTCAAAATGGGAGAGTAAGGGTACCCTGATGTCCCGTATTGTCCGCTGTTGCGGGACGGGGTGGGGGTGGGTGTGAGTGCTTCGGGATACTCTAGCAATTTAGTTTCTTTATGTGGTGCGCCGGGTCGGTGAAATAGTTACCCCCAAGTATGTTGGGAAGAGGCGTCCAAATGAGGAGAAATGAACATGAAATCCAAACGAGGGAGGAGAAAAGAAAGGGAAAGGGACATCATGAGAACAAATGAAAGCAACTGAAAGGTTAGTTCATACGATTAAACGCTAGTTTTGCACTGAGGTTTAGTTTTATGGATGCCCCTTAAGGTTGGATTCGAGATGTTTGGGGAGCTCCGTGAAGTCTATGTTTCAGCCAATTTTGCTGACGAGTAAAAGTTTCAATCCGGCTGCACTCCGGTCGACAGTGATTCAGTCTCGTTGCACTTCAAGCGTGGGGAGTAATTACGCCCGCTGGCTTGGTCATGATAATGAAATGCCTGTTTTTCTAAAGATGGCCATGCAAGCTTTCAGTGTTTGTACCTTAACGCT